AAATTCAGGGGATCCCTTCAGCTCGAGGAACCCTCTCGAACGCGAATCGAGTGTACGTCTAGAGGCCCGCTTTCGAATGAGACCACCTCTGCGTCGATACCCCCCGGGGTTCGGGAGTTACGGGTGGTTAAATTCGCAGTCCGGCGCCGACCGATCAAGCGATCCCGGGGGGCAACAGACGCGTGGAGAGGACTCCTCGAGCTGAAGGGATATGAAAAAAATATACAAGACAAACTAAAATATTTTGTTAATAAATTGTTGTTTTATAAAATTTTATAAAAATTTATTTAACAGTGTGCATCATCTTTTGAGTCAGATTCTTACATTTCATCAGTGAATTAGAATAATAAGACATTTGGGCTGTTACCGAGCAAATAATCAACAAAATTCATCTTTGCAATGCAGAGGAAACACAGAAGCGGCGTTTAGATGTATTTGCACACTGTTTAATGCAGGACATGAATAGAGCCTGACCGATATGGGTTTTTTGGGGGCCCGATGCCGATATTAGAGAGTAAAAAAGACGATACCGATATATCGGCCGATATTCTTTGTGTAGGCTATATTATAGTACAGCATATGATACTGTATATAGAATACAGTATATAGCCTACATAAACAGAACATAGTATATATATATATATTTTTTAAATAGGCTCTGAAATAGGGATGTAACGATTACCGGTTTGAAGATAAATCGTGATAAAATTCCCCACGGTTAGTAATACCGTTTCATCTTTTAATTATCATTAAAACCATATTAGATTACCGTGATTTGAACAACTCACAAAATACTGTCCAGCATAAAGCACAGTTTTCAGTAACAGTGTCATGTGCGCACAACACGCAGAGTAGTTTCTTTTTGAGTGAAAACAGGGCGGAAACAATACTGCTTTGTCCACGGAGGTTACGGGAAACAGCTCTAATTCAGCTTCTCTATAAGCGCCACCTAGTGTCAGAGAGTGGATTTACAGAGACCTAAATTTACATTCAGCCTGTGTGCAGTTTCTGTCTGGCCAAAAACGGACCGAATTTGCATGCCCTGCTGTCTATTTTGACCGGTTGATGAAAAACAGTGTGGATTCTACACATTTGAACTATTCAAAGTTATCTAGAATTATTTATGGAGCAGATAAAACGCATGTAATCATCTATTAATCAATTATTATTTTAAATTAACCCTTTTCTTTATTTAAAGGCTGAAATGTGAGGTTTACCTTTTTATGAAACTTTTTCCAAGCTTTATTTGAACATTTGCATGAGATATTTCAACATGCTATTAAACTGTTGTCAGTCAAGTTGCCGTTTAAAATCCAAACGTCATTGGTAATGTTATTGTTTTAGTGATTATGCAAACAAAAAGTCATTTTATGTATAACTTCCATCAGCGCTCCCAAAGCTTCACAGGCCTTTAACACTTTCTGGATCCACATGTCACTCGCTAGCATTAGGCAGGTTTCATTTATACGCGGTTAGTGTTGATGATCGCATTGTTTTTCATATGCACATGCTTACATAAGAGAGCGCTGGTTTCTGCGTCTTCCTGGTCTGTGTTTTTGATCAGCACTTTCTAGACTCATTCAGGAGATGCGTAATAGCGCCCCCTAGCTTTTAACAGTGAAAACACAGAAAATTCTGTGTTTGGCAGGAAAGCATCGTCTCTTAATGGAAAATTCTGTGTTTGGTGGGGAAAGAGTTAATCAGGAAGTGCTTTATTCTCAGATGTTTTATCCGATATTCGAATTTTGCGCATCGGTTTAATTCATAACTTTGGAAGGAAACTTATTACGAGTGCTCAAACCTCTAGCACTAAGTGTTAAAGTTAGGTCATGCATTTATGAATGATGGTGATTTTGTGTCTCCAAGGCGCCATGCAGACCCCAGAGGCAGGCGCTGACTCCACGTCCAATGTGCCGCTCCAGACCAGCGTGCCTGTGCCGTCTGCGGTCAGTGCCCAGCAGGTGGCGTCTCAGGTGCCAGTCCAGCAACAGGTGAGGCAGCCCAGATGAGTCTAAAAGCTATTATAGTTCAGCCAAAAATTAAAATCGGCTGAAAATGTGCTCACCCTCAGGCCTTCCAAGATGTGGATTAGTTTGTTTGGAAAGTTTTTTTATTTTTTATTTTTTTGCTATTAGGGCAAATGGGAATGTAAAAACTATATTTGTTGTAGTACATTTACCGTTATAGAACTTTATCTAGCTATGATGACTTCAGCTTCTGAGAGCCATGGGAATGTGAAAAAGGTCTATTACTATATGTGTTTTTCTGCTTGGATCTTGATGAAAGCATAGTAAATGTAATACACTGCTGTTTGCTTTACTATCATCTTGCAAAGCTGCTACTGAAGCCACTTATTTATATATTCTCCCGTCTTTATGGAGGAGTGAGTCACTCTCGGTGTAATTGTGTCGTGTGTTTCAGGCGCAGACTGTTCAACAGGTCCAGCATGTGTATCAAGCACAGGTGCAGTACGTTCAGGAGGAAAACAACAGCGTTTACACCAACGGAACCATGTGAGTGTGTTTATGAGCCGTGAATACGTACATGCTCCCTGATGTGATTTCTGAAATGCTTGTCAGAGCCGTGGCTTTGTAATTAGCACACATGCTGATAAGTGCTTTAGGTCACCATTAAAATGGTGCAAAATGCAGAATTAGTCTCTCATACTGCCATATATATATATATATATATATATATATAAAAACAAGGGTTACATGTCGGGCTGGGTGATATGGCAAAAAAAAATCTCAAATTGTTTTTTTTTCGTAACGTTTGACCGATTCTCGATTTTTAACTAGTCAACTTGAAAATGTAACTACAACATGATTCAAGTAACTTTTTCTTTATAAACCCTCTAGTTAAAGAAAATTATATTCCGAGTGCAGCACACGTGAAGCTGTCAACATGATGTAAATGTTAAACGAATCACTTTTTAAATATCTTTGCAGAAAAGATGCATGACCTACAACTACATCTTGTACAAACTTGTCTTATACATATTATATGTTCAGAAATAATACGAGGAAAATGCTTTAAAACTAATTCTCAAAAGTCAAGGTAATTCAAAATGAAAAATTTATAACACCAGCAGACTATTATTAACTATAAATGTTCTGTAAAACAATGAACAGCAGCTTTCAGTCATCAGTCACCTTGATGCAAACATGAAATATCAGACATACAGCAGTAGTTCTTTACAGGTTTTTTTTTTTCGATTGCGCTGCTTTTCCATTGTTTTTCCGTGAAACATGGACGTGTTTGACTCTTGCGCTCGTGTCTCTTGCATGAAACGGCTTTCTAACAACACCCCGCTCAAGTTAAAAGAAGTTCACTCCCATCTTCTTGCATTTTTTCCTCTTCCACTGCCGTGTCGCAAAAATAAAAGTCACGTGATTGTGTTCAGCAGCAAACTGATTTAGCGCACTCCAGCTCAGCCCTGTCACTGAAACACGCTGCCTCTGAGAGACTCAAGCATCAGTGTGAGAATTGTGTTCGGCCACCTGGAAATGACCACAAGTATCCATGAGTGGCCAGCGTATGATGGACGAGAGCACTCTGGGATCGTGTGCTTTTTACAGAAGACGCAAAAAAGCACTTCCAGACGTTCACCCTGACCGCGGGTCACCTGAAACTCTCCTAAGTGCTTCTCTCTGCTTTCTCTCTCAGTAACATTCAGATCGCTCATATTTAGAAATTCACTCCGCAAGAGGCTAAGATCTTTTAAATGGGCTATTATAAATAAAATGCCATCAGCCGAATAGAGAAAGCACATATCAGAATGGCAATCAAAAGCAATGTTCTCTATAAAATAGTTATGCTTTGGTGATTTCTGTATCCATGGAAACAGCACTCTCACCTGAAGCTGAAAGGATGCGAACCCATCAAGACAAGACTTATCATGTTTCTCGAGTCAATTAAAGAAACCGTGTGCGCTGATATAATGTAAGAACTCATTTGAGTGAAAACCCAGCTGGCAGCCGTATCTCAAGTGCTCTTGTTTTGTCGGCAGACGGCCGTATTCATACTCCGAGCCGCAGCTGTACAACCAGAACAGCGGCGGGAACTACTTCGATACGCAGGGCAGCTCGGCTCAGGTGAGCACTCACAGTATGGCCAACAACGGGAACGGCGTCCTGGCCATGGGGCTGTCAGGAGGCCAGATCATCAGCAGCTCAGGAGCGTATCTGATTGGAGGAAACTCCATGGATGGCTCCGCCCCTCACAGCGCGGCTCAGGCCACTAGAGCCTCCCCCGCCACGGTGAGCTCCAATCACAGACGCACACAACTGAGTGTTCAAAAACATGCTGTACTTCCTCTGATCTGTGACCCTGGAGCACAAAACCAGTCATAAGTAGCACGGGTATATTTGTCGCAATAGCCAAAAATACATTGTATGGGTCAGAATTATAAATTTTTCTTTTATGCCAAAAATCATTAGGATATTACGTAAAGATCATGTTCCATGAAGATATTTTGTACATTTCCTACCGTAAATATATCTAAACTTAATGTTTGATTAGTAATATGCATTGCTAAGAACTTCATTTGAACAACTTTAAAGATGATTTTCTGAATATTTAGATTTTTTTGCACCCTCAGATTCCAGATTTTCAAATAGTTGCATCTCAGCCAAATATTGTCCGATCCTAACTTATTTATTCAGCTTTCAGGTGATCTAAAAATCTCAATTTCACAAAATTGACCCGACTGGTTTTGTGGTCCAGGGTCACACATGTGCTTGGAACGATTAAAGACATTTAATAATTTTTCTTAGAAATTAAAGGGTTAGTTCACCCAAAAATGAAAATTAGCCCATGATTTACTCGCCCTCGAGGCATCCTAGGTGTATATGACTTTCTTCTTTCAGACGAATCCAGTCGGAGTTATATTAAAAATTGTCCTTGCTCTTCCAAGCTTTATAATGGCAGTGAATGGGTGTTTTTTGTTCAACAGTCCAAAAGAAGTCAAATAAAGTGCATCCATTCATAATAAAACGTGCCTTGCATGGCTCCGGGGGGTGAAAAAAGGCCACCTGTAGCGAATCGATGAATCCGTCGGAATGGCTTCGGTGTACAACAGTTAGCGGAAGTGATAGAAAAGTGTTTATAACATTTTAAATATGGATTTTTTTTTTTTACAAAAACGCATTGATTTGCTACAGGAGGCCTTTATTCACCCACCGGAGCCATGCGAGGCATGTTTTATTATGGATGGATTTTACTTCTTTTGGACTGTTGAACAAAAAACACCCATTCACTACCATTATAAAGCTTGGAAGAGCCAGGACAATTTTTAATATAACAACCAATTGGATTTGTCGGAAAGGAGAAAATCATATGTGACCCTGGACCACAAAACCAGTCATAAGGGTCAATTTTTCGAAATTGAGATTTATGCATCATCTGAAAGCTGAATAAATAATCTTTCCATTGATGTATGGTTTGTTAGGATCGGCAATATTTGGCCGAGATACAACTATTTGAAAATCTGGAATCTGAGGGTGCAAAAAAATCTAAATATTGAGAAAATCATCTTTAAAGTTGTCCAAATTAAGTACTTAGCAATGCATATTACTAATCAAACATTATGTTTTGATATATATTTACGGTAGGAAACATGATCTTTACTTAATATCCTAATGATTTCTGGCATAAAAAAAAAAAGTGATAAAAAAGCGACCCATACAATGTTTTTTTGGCTATTGCTACAAATGTACCCCAGCGACTTAAGTGTTCAAAAACATGCTTTTGTGCTCCAGGGTCACATATACACCGAGGATGCCTTGAGGGTGAGTAAATCATGGGATAATTTTCACTTTTGGGTGATCTAACCCTTTAAGGGCTCATCATTTTCTGGGCCGTTTTTAATGAGAGACATCTATGAGACCCGAAAACACACTTCAGAATCAAATTAATTGTCAATCTGAACAATTGTGAGCCGTGCTGGCAGAATGAGTGTGAATGTGTGCAGGCTAATTTTGAGCTACATGCAAAAAAGGTGAAAAATATTGAATTTGAGGTTTTCACAAAAATGAGTTAATTAAGCCCTCGTCTAGCGATCCCAATGCTCCAAAATAGTAATTAAACATCTAAAATGATCTGTATTTGTGCTCTGCTTCTCAGCAGTGCGCGATCCCGATAAATATACACAGAATTAGAGTATTTAAGTGTTCACACAACATAATCGGTTAGGTCTTAAGTGAACGTTTGGGGAAAAACATTGGATGTGTGACATGATATTAGATCCGTGCATACAGTAAGTAGGTCTTAATATACACAGTCCGTCTGTCTCATTGAGGTTAATCTAACAATAAAAGACTTTTGTAGTTTTAATGATCAATTTATTTGTAATGAACACACTGAAGAGATTTTTGCATTTGATTATTTGTTTTTCTTACTTGAATGCTTTTGTTTAGATGTAATTTGGAAAATGTAGTGCATTATTTGTTCTACTGCTTTTTTGCATATGCTCTTATTTATAATGACAAAGATGAAATAATAATAACTATATTGTGATTATTAATATAGTAATTATTAAGAAAAGAAGTGGAGGAAAAGATGCAACGTCGCTCGGGGGTTTTACTTTGGAACCTTCAGAAAACTTTTTAATTTGATTTTTCTCAGAATCGAGTTTGTTGACTCTGTCAACTTATTTCAACAAATCATACATCATTTTGAAGGTCTTTTAATGGAGAATGTGGAATTCATTTTGGACTCATTTTTCCAGCACAGATCACAAATATATATGCTGTTACCTATTAAAGTAAATCAACATATTTTGTGATAATGGGTCTGTTCCAAAATGCTGTGGGCTTTCTGCTACTGTGCTCTTAAAAAGAAATGTTCCAAAATTGGGATTTCACAGTGATGCCATAGAAGGACCATTTCTAGTTCCCAAATAACCTTTCAGTGATCAGTTCTCAAACTAACCTTTTTTTTCCTTGATGTGAAGAACCTTTGAATGATCTAAAGAATATTTTTCCACTGTAAAGACCTTTCGTCCAAAGGAAAGTTTCCATGGATCTTAAAGGTTCTTCATGGAACCATCAATGTCAATATTTTAGAGCGTTCCGTTGCACAAAAGGTTCTTTAGATTATTAAAATGCTCTTCACGTTCACTCCATGGGGTTCCTTCAAAGCCAATAATAACCTTAAGCAACATCTTAAAAGAACTGCATGCACATATATTAAATTTTTAATTCGATTGGACTGTTTACTATTTGTTTACTTTTCCGTATGTATAAATAAACAAATTTGCAAAACAAGGTAGCATATTTGATAAACGCATCTACCTTTTAGAGAAGCCTTTACATCGGGGACACTTATGTGAGGTCTTAAAATATCCCCTATGTAGGCAGCTTATTAGGTTTGGGAACGGAGCTAGGTGTCTACATTTAAAAATAAAGGGTAGTTTAATTGTGGAGCATCATTAAAGGGTATCTTTGACGATTTTCAGCCAGCTTTGTGTTGTTGCACTATTGTAAATGAACATAGACATAAAATGCATCCTTTTGTGAAAACCACAGATACTCAGACAGTCAGATCCAGTCTAGTACATCATGGGTGTAGAGGTTTTCCTACCTTTTTGGCAAAAGGAAACACCACAGTCCTTTATCTACAGTCATGTAGAACTGATTTCTATTGCACAGACAGACAAGTTTTATTAAAAGCCCGTCTTGGCAGCTGTGAATTACCTTTAATTTCTGACTAATTGGTCTCATTGTCAATGTAATGTTGCTCATGGAAAACTTTTTTTAGATGACCTTGGACTGTTTATAAACGCTATGCTCAGTTCTGAATGAAAGTTGACAAAAGCTGGATCATTATGACTATATCTGCGGTGCTGGGCTGTAGTGTGTGGTTTTGGTGGCTGGAATGCTTTATAGGGCTGGGTTTTGACACAAATTTCACGATTCGATTCTCATTCACAAGCTTGCGATTCGATTACCGATTCGATATAGATTATTTTGGATATATATCAGGTACAATACATGCCAAATTTTCAGTTGGTAGTATGATATTGAAGGTTAAAATTGACTGATTTTGTAAAAAATTACACTTAATGAAGCTTTTCAAAATAATAGTTACAATTACTTAATAATATTTCTACTTCAATTCGTGTCATAAAATCTTACTGGATTTATTCAAACATAAATTAAACATTGAAGAACAGTAAAATTTATAATGAATATGTTATATGGTGCATATATTTAGCTAAATGCTCCTCTCTTCAGTTTATTTTTCTATCTGATTAATGAGTTTATGGTCAAGAATATGTTTTTCTGAGGTAAATGTTACGGTACTTGACATTGTTTACAAGCCGTTATATTGACGTCTTTGCGCGGCTGAAACACTGATTGAGAGATTACATGAGACAGGATACAGATTGTAAATAATATTGAAGGTTAAAATGGACTGATTTGTTAAAATTACACTTAATGAAGTTTTTAAAATAATAAAGTTACAATTACATAATAATATTTCTACTTCAATTCGTGTCATAAAATCTTACTGGATTTATTCAAACATAAATTAAACATTGAAGAACAGTAAAATTTATAATGAATATGTTATATGGTGCATATATTTAGCTAAATGCTCCTCTCTTCAGTTTATTTTTCTATCTGATTAATGAGTTTATGGTCAAGAATATGTTTTTCTGAGGTAAATGTTACGGTACTTGACATTGTTTACAAGCCGTTATATTGACGTCTTTGCGCGGCTGAAACACTGATTGAGAGATTACATGAGACAGGATACAGATTGTAAAGTTGTACTCTTTCTTTTAACTTACCTTCGGATGTTTAGTCATGTTTATTTTGTGCTATAACTAGTAATAAAGCGGAGGAGATGATCAGTTCACGTCTGTTAAACTGAGGTGCTACAGCGATCTGTCACGCCACATTAAACGGCGCCAAAACGACATTTATTGTTTGAATACTGCAATACAATGGACAGAATTTGAAATCTGAGACTTTGTTTCATATTAAAAGTACCAAAGCACAATGCTTATTGCGATATATTGGATGGGAAGTGCCCTTCAACGTTCCGTCCATTAACTGAAAACAGGCTAGACTAATCGATTCTTGGGATTTAAGAATCGATATCGTTCCGTAAAAATGAGAATCGATTAATATCGAGATATCGATATTTTTTTACCCAGCCCTAATGCTTTAGTCGGGTCTATTTCTGCTGCTCATCTCTGGTGTCAGTGCAGCTTTCTGTCGCTACAGCCTTCATTTGATTTACTTTTCCCCCCCTTTTTGTTTTTGTTCTCCTTTATTCTTTTGCTCTTTGGTCTATCAGATTGAAATGGCGATTGAGACGCTCCAAAAGTCTGAAGGTTTGTCCAGTCAGAGAAGTTCGCTGCTCAACAGCCATGTAAGTTGTAAACCTGCACAGCTTTGCTTTGCACAATCTGCTTCGGTTTCTTTCTCACTCGCTTTCTCTCTTTCCTACACTGTGCCATTCAAAAGAGTCCCAATCAATTCAGAACATTTATTTGCATTCTTTACGTTTTAAATAAAGTAAATGTTTATTTCCAGATTTTCAGTGTGGACTTTTTAAATGGCATGGATATGCAAAGTTTATTTGTATTGTTCTTGCATGTGTATATACTTTCAGCATTTGCAATATTAACTGTTGTACTGTTAATGATGTTAAAAAGATGTTTAATGATTTGCTGAGGTTATCCACCTTTTTCCCGCGCCCCATGATGCTTTGCACAAATTATGGGAGTAACTTCCATTTAAACTGTGAACAATCATCAAGGTTCACTCTATGAACGCAGTAATAAGCATTTCAAAAACTGGGTACATTATTTTACTCACCCTTCAACCTTCGATCATTTAAAATTGTAAAAGCATTAACAAATTACTTTAAACACACCATGAATAACTCCTAAAGATCCTCCTTCTATCCGCAGCAATATTACGGATGTGTTAAATATCATTATAGAAATAACAATTACATTTAACAGCATCCATGTGAAAACAAACCTGGAAAGAGACGTGAGGATTTGGGGAGAAAAGGGAAAGATTCTCAGTGCATCCCAGGGAAATATTCATGGTTTATATCACAACTTAAATCAGGATGTACAGTATATGTTGCCTTTTTTCATTTACTTACAGCAGAATACAAAGGAAACGTGAAAATAATCCAGTGGGCTGAAAAGAGCTATTCTATAACTATTGTTGTTATATCACGTCACATTAAAGGGTTAGTTCACCCAAAAATGAAAATTAGGCTGTGTTTTACTCACCCCCGAGGCATCCTAGGTGTATATGACTTTCTTCTTTCAGACGAATCCAGTCGGAGTTATATTAAAAATGGTCTTTGATCTTTCAAGCTGTTTAATGGCACTCAGCGGGTGTTGCATGCTTCAGTCCAAAAGAAGTGAAATAAAAATCGCCCATCCATAAAAAAAAGTGTCTCACACGGCTCCGGGGGGTGAACAAAGGCCTTCTGTAGCGAATCGATGCGTTTTTTATTAGAAAAATATCCATATTCAAAACATAATAATCACTTTAATGTAGCTTGCGCTCACTGTTGTACACAGAAGCAGTTTCCATGAGTCTCGTGAAAACCAACGTTTGTTAACAAGAGCAAAGAAAGGAAAGTTTCCTTACTTTAGCAAAGGAAAACCAGTCTCCTCTTGGCTTATGCAACGCCGACCTCATACGTCATGCTCCCGGAGCTGCTTCTGTGTACAACAGTGAGCGCAAGCTAGATTCAATTGATTATTACGTTTTGAATACGGATATTTTTCTTACAAAAACGCATCGATTCGCTACCCCTCGGAGCCGTGTGAGACACTTTTTTTTTTTTTTAACTTCTTACAATTTTTATTTCACTTCTTTTGGACTGAAGCAATGCAACACCCGCTGAGCGCCATTAAACAGCTTGAAAGATCAAAGACCATTTTTAATATAACTCCGACTGGATTCGTCTGAAAGAAGAAAGTCATATACACCTAGGATGCCTCGGGGGGTGAGTAAAACGCAGCCTAATTTTCATTTTTGGGTGAACTAACCCTTTAATATATCAGACGTTATTCTCCTGACTTCTGAAAATAGAAAATGAATGAAAATGTACAGCCCATTCAGTCAGAATGACGGATAAGGATTGTTTGTAGTGCAATCTTATGATTTGAATAACCAGTCTTTTTGAGTGGAACTTCCCCAAACCCGAAGTGCCTCCCATAATTTAAAACACAGTAGGCTCGTTAGGAAAAAGGTGGACCACACCATTGTCATTCCAAATCTGTGATTTACTTTGCAACACAAGATGCATTTTTTTTTTTTTTTTTTTAAAGAAATGTGCACTTTATCTGATGAATGCAGCTGTTCTCCACAGCTGCAATGGCTCCTGGATAATTACGAGACAGCAGAGGGCGTGAGTCTGCCGCGCTCCACGCTCTACAGTCACTACCTGCGCCACTGTCAGGAGCAGAAACTGGACCCGGTCAATGCTGCGTCTTTTGGGAAGCTCATCCGCTCCATCTTCATGGGGCTGCGCACCCGCCGCTTGGGCACCCGGTAAAATCAGCCCCTCACACGCTCCGTTCTAGGGGTGTAACGGTTCACAAAATATTTCTGTTTTAAACCAAGAAGGTGTGAGCCAAAGGATATCACACAAGCAACATGCAAACTTTGAGTTTGAGAGTTACGCCGAGTCGATTCACTGTGCAGAAAGTGAAAGCGGAGTAATGACGCCACATTCTCTCTCAGAGACGACGAGAGATCAATCTACTTCAGCATATACTGATAACAGTATACACTGCCGGTCAAAAGTGTGGGATCAGTACGACTTGTAATGTGTTTTAAAGCAGTCTCTTCTGCTCATCAATGCTGCATTTATTTGATCAAAAATACAGAAAAAAAACAGTAATCTTGCAAAATGTTATTACAATATAAAATAATGGTTTCTATTTTAATATCCTTTAAAAAATTATTTATTTTTTTGATCAAAGCTGTATTTCCATCATCATTACTCCAGTATAAAGCATCACATGATCTTCAGAAATCATTCTAATATGCTGATTTATTATCAGAATTATCAATGCTGTGCTGCACAATATTTATTTTGGAAACTGCGATACTTTTTTCAGGATTCTTAGATGAGTAAAAAGTTAAAAAGAACAGCATTTATTCAAAATATAAATCTTTTCTAACAATATAAATCTTTGCTGTCACTTCTTTATCAATTTAACACATCCCCGCTGAATAGAAGTTTTAATTTCTTTCAAAAAAACGAAATAATAAAAATGTACTGACCCCAAACTTTTGAACTGTAGTGTATATTGTTAGAAAAGATTTCTATTTTAAATAAATGCTCTTCTTTTTAACTTTTTATTCATCAAAGATTCCTGAAAAAAGTATCACAGCTTCCAAAACAAATATGAAGCAGCAACAGTTTCCAGCTCTGATAATAAATCAGCATATGTGTCTTGCACTGAGGAGAGGCTTCCGTCGGGCCACTCTGCCATAAAGCCCCGACTGGTGGAGGGCTGCAGTGATGGTTGACTTTCTACAACTTTCTCCCATCTCCCGCCTGCATCTCTGGCGCTCAGCCACAGTGATCTTTGGGTTCTTCTTTACCTCTCTCACCAAGGCTCTTCTCCCCCGATAGCTCAGTTTGGCCGGACGGCCAGCTCTAGGAAGGGTTCTGGTCGTCCCAAACGTCTTCCATTTAAGGATTATGGAGGCCACTGTGCTCTTAGGAACCTTAAGTGCAGCAGACATTTTTTTGTAACCTTGGCCAGATCTGTGCTTTGCCACAATTCTGTCTCTGAGCTCTTCGGGCAGTTCCTTTGACCTCATGATTCTCTTTTGCTCTGACATGCACTGTGAGCTGTAATGTCTTATATAGACAGGTGTGTGGCTTTGCTAATCAAGTCCAATCAGTATAATCACACACAGCTGGACTCAAATGAAGGTGTAGAACCATCTCAAGGATGATCAGAAGAAATGGACAGCACCTGAGTTAAATATATGAGTGTCACAGCAAAGGGTCTGAATACTTAGGACCATGTGATATTTCAGTTTTTCTTTTTTAATAAATCTGCAAAAATGTCAACAATTCTGTGTTTTTCTGTCAATATGGAGTGCTGTGTGTACATTAATGAGGGAAAAAAAATAACTTAAATGATTTTAGCAAATGGCTGCAATATAACAGTGAAAAATTTAAGGGCGTCTGAATACTTTCCGTACCCACTGTATATTAAAATCGAAAAATGTTATTTTACATCATAATAATATTTCACAATATTAAATTGTTTCCTGTATTCTTGATCTAATAAATGCAGCTTTGATGAGCAGAAGAGACTCCTGTAAAAACATTAAAAATCATTCTGATCCCAAACTTTTGACCGGTAGTGTATAGCTAACGGTTTTCATTTATTCCCTTAATATTTCATTATATTTCACACACTTTAAGCCCTTTTATTTTCCCCCGAATCGTTTGGTTTGTAATGCGTACCGAACCGAAAGCCTCGTACCGAACGGTTCAATACGTGTATCGTTACACCCCAACTCAGTCCTGTTCTGTGCTCTCCACAGCTGCATTTATTCACAACGGTCTCATTTCCCACCTTGATTTTAGAGGGAACTCTAAGTATCACTATTACGGGATTCGCGTGAAGCCGGACTCTCCTCTGAACCGGTTGCAGGAGGACATGCAGTACATGGCACTGAGACAGCAGCCCGTCCAACAGAAGCAGAGGTACAAGCGTCTCAGTCGGACCGCACGAAAGAGATCTGTAGCGCTGTTCTCACGAGTATCAAATGTATACGGATCAAAGACGTTAAGATGTCCGCATAAAATCACTTTTGTAAATTTCTTTTGATGTCCATGGAAAGCACATTAAATGTAAGTAAAGTGTCTACTTTTAAGGTTTCAAATAAGTTTTTGGAGAATAAAATGTCAATTTGGTTGAAATAATGTTATATTGTCATTCAGTGTAACACAATATTTATGTAAAAATAAAAAATAAATGCTTATTCTGATGTGTACATATTAAAATATATACAAGAATAAGGGAGCATATTAAATTTGATTGTGTTTTAAATGAGTAAAAAATTCTTACTGACAAATGGGCAAAAGCTAGGATAGTGGCAAATTTAAAAAAAAAAGTAAAATAACTACTAATTAGTATTTGGGGTGACTAAAAAACACCTGAATAAGATTCTCTGGTCTGATGAGACCAAGATATAACTTTTTGGCCTTAATTCTAAGCGGTATGTGTGGAGAAAACCAGGCACTGCTCATCACCTGTCCAATACAGTCCCAACAGTGAAGCATGGTGGTGGCAGCATCATGCTGTGGGGGTGTTTTTCAGCTGCAGGGACAGGACGACTGGTTGCAATCGAGGGAAAGATGAATGCGGCCAAGTACAGGGTTATCCTGGACGAAAACTTTCTCCAGAGTGCTCAGGACCTCAGACTGGGCCGAAGGTTTATCTTCCAACAAGACAATGACCCTAAGCACACAGCTAAAATAATGAAGGAGTGGCTTCACAACAACTCTGTGACTGTTCTTGAATGGCCCAGCCAGAGCCCTGACTTAAACCCAATTGAGCATCTCTGGAGAGACCTAAAAATGGCTGTCCACCAATGTTTACCATCCAACCTGACAGAACTGGAGAGGCTCTGCAAGGAGGAATGGCAGAGGATTCCCAAATCCAGGTGTGAAAAACTTGTTGCCTCTTTCCCAAAAAGACTCATGGCTGTATTCGATCAAAAGGGTGCTTCTACTAAATACTGAGCAAAGGGTCTGAATATTTAGGACCATGTGATATTTCAGTTTTTCTTTTTTAATAAATCTGCAAAAATGTCAACAATTCTGTGTTTTTCTGTCAATATGGGGTGCTGTGTGTACATTAATGAGGGAAAAAAAATAACTTAAATGATTTTAGCAAATGGCTGCAATATAACAGTGAAAAATTTAAGGGCGTCTGAATACTTTCCGTACCCACTGTATATTAAAATCGAAAAATGTTATTTTACATCATAATAATATTTCACAATATTAAATTGTTTCCTGTATTCTTGATCTAATAAATGCAGCTTTGATGAGCAGAAGAGACTCCTGTAAAAACATTAAAAATCATTCTGATCCCAAACTTTTGACCGGTAGTGTATAGCTAACGGTTTTCATTTATTCCCTTAATATTTCATTATATTTCACACACTTTAAGCCCTTTTATTTTCCCCCGAATCGTTTGGTTTGTAATGCGTACCGAACCGAAAGCCTCGTACCGAACGGTTCAATACGTGTATCGTTACACCCCAACTCAGTCCTGTTCTGTGCTCTCCACAGCTGCATTTATTCACAACGGTCTCATTTCCCACCTTGATTTTAGAGGGAACTCTAAGTATCACTATTACGGGATTCGCGTGAAGCCGGACTCTCCTCTGAACCGGTTGCAGGAGGACATGCAGTACATGGCACTGAGACAGCAGCCCGTCCAACAGAAGCAGAGGTACAAGCGTCTCAGTCGGACCGCACGAAAGAGATCTGTAGCGCTGTTCTCACGAGTATCAAATGTATACGGATCAAAGACGTTAAGATGTCCGCATAAAATCACTTTTGTAAATTTCTTTTGATGTCCATGGAAAGCACATTAAATGTAAGTAAAGTGTCTACTTTTAAGGTTTCAAATAAGTTTTTGGAGAATAAAATGTCAATTTGGTTGAAATAATGTTATATTGTCATTCAGTGTAACACAATATTTATGTAAAAATAAAAAATAAATGCTTATTCTGATGTGTACATATTAAAATATATACAAGAATAAGGGAGCATATTAAATTTGATTGTGTTTTAAATGAGTAAAAAATTCTTACTGACAAATGGGCAAAAGCTAGGATAGTGGCAAATTTAAAAAAAAAAGTAAAATAACTACTAATTAGTATTTGGGGTGAAAGTAATTAGTCTTTTAATGTGTCATAAATTGATTTATGTTGTAAATATGCCTGACAAGATTGTTACATTGAATGACATTTTAGTGGGTCTCTTCGGTAAATCAGGGAAAAATTTATATTTATTTTTTGCTCAGAAAAACAAAATTGCAATTAACAGAAAACAGATTTTTTTTTGGGGGGGGGGCAAAACAACAACAATTTAAAGCAGTATTACACTTATTGTTTTTAAATCTTAAACCCTTTTTCGTCTTTGACCCATACCTTAAATGCAATGCAAGTCGCTTTGGATGAAAGCATCTGCCAGTTGCATAAATGTGGGGCCGTATGATTTCTGCAAAGCGGAAAATGCGGACAGAATCGTGGAATCCAGTCATAAAAATGGAATGTACTATATAACGCGGAATGGCACAGAATTTGCCCAATTTTGGACGGGAAAATCAAAACTAAATCAAAACACGATATGGACTAGTGTCTGTGAATATGAAGTCATAAAAATACAACTTAATTATGAATCCTGCATGTCTCTGTGTGAATTTATGGCACAGACGCGCGGTTTCGTTTACGACACGAATACTGACGCACGCGTGACGCTCGCGGTGTTTTCAGCCTTCAATATATGAGTACATGAACACATGAACATGATCTGCTCCAAGTCACTTCATGAGCATTTTACCATTTCTTTTGAGTAAAACTATCTTCATATAAAACATAAAGGCCTTCACAGCATCCTGTCAAAATAAAAGTTTGGTTTAACTTGAAGAAACGGTGACAAAAATATTGCTTAATGTAATGATAGTACTGCTACTAAAAAAACATTATTTTTAAAGGAATATTTACCAGTTACCAATTTATTTAGCAGGAAAATGTAAGTACACAACACTGTATTTCTGGGGAGAAAAAGTAAAAAAACTAATTTGGTAACACTTTATTTTAGGGTCTCTTAACTAGTTGCTTATTAACATGCATATTACTAGAATATTAGCCATTTATTAGTAGTAATTAAGCACTTATTAATGCCTTATTCTGCATGACCTTATTCTACATCCCTAATCCTATCCAATACCTAAACTTAACAACTACCTTACTAACTATTAATAAGCAGCAAATTAGGAGTTTATTGATGGAAAAGTCGTAGTTAATAGTGAATAAGTGTTCCCTATTCTAAAGTGTTACCACTAATTTTATAACATCAATTAAATAGTGATGCTTTTGATTATTGATAGTTAATGAAACCATTCAAATTGAATCCAGAAAATTAATGGAAAACAGAATTTGGTCAAAAACTGCTTTTGAGAAAAAAAATAAAACGTATTTCCTAGGGTCTTCATTTTATTTTTGTTAAACTTTTAATAAATTGCTGCTTAATATTGTAAGTTTCATGATTTCAGTTAATGTTAATAATATTAATACAATTTTATTTAACCATTAAAACGGAGTCTAGAAAAATTAAAACCGAAAAAAAATATTTTAAAAAACCCGGAATCCAGAAAAATTAAAAGAGAAAAAATGGAATTTGGGGAAAAAATAAAACCGATTACATAGGGCCCTATAAATGTAAATGGAGCGCCTAAGTTTTGGAACAGGGCTCATCTCTTATCGTCTCTTCTCTAGATTCAAGCCAGTACCGAAGATGGATGGCGTTTCAGGGGAGAACTTCTCCGCCGGGGGGCAGCACACACCCAGCGCTGCAGAGCAGACGTTCATCGCTCAAAGCCAGCACCATCAGCAGTTCCTCGGTAAACATAACGCAGAAATCGCTGGAGACGGTTAGTGCACATTCGTGCTATAGAAGAGCTTTTCTGAATGTCCCCATATGCCCCATTAGACGGGTCCAGAGCTCTGCCAGAGTTCGCTGAACTTGACCTCGGAGAGCCTGTGGAAGGCGTCGAACCAGAGGACATCAAAGCCCTTCAGACGCTGTACAGAGAGCACTGCGAGGTCAGTCGTTTAGAACATCGTTACGCTCCAATAGACCTTTATCACATCCGGCTCCGATTAGTATACTCTCAGGAAAAAAGGTTCAAAAGTTGTCACTGGGGCAGTACCTTTTCAAAAGGCACACCTTTGTACCTAGAGTCCATATTGGTACCTTAAAGGTACACATTAGTACCTAAGGTGTACATATTAGTACCTAAAAGGTACAAAAGTGTAGCTTTTGAAAAGGTACTGCACCAGTGACCGCTTTTGTACCTTTTTTTCTTAGAGTGTAACGTAAAGGAATTTCCACTTGCATTATTACCAATGTACAGACGCCAGTTTTGTGAATAAAATCAAACTAATTTAGTTGGACGTAGCAATAAAGGTCAAAATTTGAAACGGTTTATATATACTGATGCCCTACCATGCATGTCATTCTTCATTTTAATGTGTAACATTATCTGATCGTCCATGTGACATTAATGAATAGGCAGCACATTGCTCAAGTTACTCCCAGAGGAATAACCGGGCTGATTTTAATGCATTTTTAATATTATTTTGTTTATTCTTGCAATATATTTATTGTGATTAACCTCCCGTTTTTGTATACAATATAATGCCGTTCAATCATTGCACTCAATTACGCATGATATGACTCATTATTAAGATGAATAATCCTGAATGGGCTGGAAATATTCGTTTATTTGACTTTTAACTTAACTTTAATTTAATGTAATTATTGAGGATTGCATTGTAAAGTAAGTGCATGAAATATGTAAGCATTACTGTTTAATGCAATATGTCTTTAATTTAATAATCTAAAACAGTCTTTAGTCATAATTAATATTTTAAGATTTTGTTAATTTAAATGCTCTTTAATGTGATGTGCTGTTTGTGTTGTTTTGTAATAAAATAAGACTCTTAAGTATATAAATATACAGTATGGCTTGTGCGCTCCCCTTTAAGTCACCAAATATACATCGGAAATTCGTTTGACCGATGCTCGATTTATTTATTTTTCTTCTTCTTTTCTTTCTAGAACATTTGACCGATTCTCTATTATTTTTTCTTCCTCTTTTCTTTCTAGAACGTTTGACCGATTCTCGTTTTTTTTCTTCTTTTCTTTCTAGAACGTTTGACAGATTCTTTTTTTTTTCTTCTTTTCTTTCTAGAACGTTTGACCGATTCTCGTTTTTTCTTCTTTTCTTTCTAGAACGTTTGACCGATTCTCGTTTTTTCTTCTTCTTTTCTTTCTAGAATGTTTGACC